AAATGTTGTTTGATGTGTTTGCTTGCCGGTGCGATCTTTCAATTATTGATGATTGTAATGATAAGTAAACATATATCTTTTAAAGTATAAAAACTTTAAAAGATAAATGTTTACTTACAACTTTTTTTTTAATGTTAAGTGAAAAAGATTTTGTAAAGGTAGATGAAACTTTACTACCCCATCCCTCTACCTTCTACTAAGGTATTAAAGTAAGGCCTACAACCATAAACTAAAGGATGTAAGCCTATGCAATAAATGGTTTCTATATTGTTTTAATTTTATAGTAAAATAATATACGTTTCGACGAATTGGATGTCGGAAAAGTAATTGCACAATGAAACATACAACTTGTCTCTGTGAGCAAAGTAGAAAGGTAATTCATGCTATTTTTGTATTAATATTATTAGGCATTTACAGTTAAAATTCATAAATATGTAAGGTTAGGGAAAATAAGACATTTTAGAAATTGCTGCTCTTTTATAAAGTTATTTTAAAATGATTATTGACCACTAATCATTTGATCATTAATTTATTCTATTCACTTTAAATTTAAATACTTTCAAATTTAGAATATTTGACTTATTTTAGGTCCCTGTTTTGGAAAGAGAATATTTAAAGGACCAAAGATGCAAGATAGGACCAACAGGAAGTTGGCAGTTAGGCAATGTGGACCAAGCGGAGGCAACAAGGAACGCCAAAAAGTATATTAGAGAAGAAATTGAGGCCATTAGAAAGCTAATTAGATAAAAAAATCTTCAAAAACATCAGAAGTCGATTTAAAAGTAGTTTTAGTGATGAACCTTCAAGTTTAGATACAACTTAAAGTGAAGAGTTTGAGGAGCAAATACTTAGTGAAATAAAATTACACAGAATTAACTAATTTGGCCGAGGCTGCAGTAAGATACAAAGTAAATGATGCTGCAGCTGCTGCAATAGCAACAGCTCTGTTAATTGACTACGGAATAGTAAGAGTAAAAAATATCAGATAATTACATAAGGTATTTTGTGAAAAAGCACGAGTGGCTAAATCAATTGACACTGAGCAATCGTCAAGAGGTTTTAGAAATAAAGGTAATTGGTGTTGATAGCAAGAAAAACAAAAATTCATTAGTTAATGTGATGAAATACAAGAGTAATGGGACCTTTTATTTTATTGAGCTACTAATATGAACATCATCTCACTTTTACTTCTGAAAATGATCCTTTGCTCTGGAAATTATCTAACACATGTAATAATAGAAAATGGTAAAAGTAGTACTATATCTTTAGCAACATTAAATGTGCTTTCTGAATATGATAGTGTTAAAAGCATTGAAGCGATTGTTCTTGACAAGAAAAGTTCTAACGCTGGCGTAGATAATTGTTTAGTTGTCAAATTAGAAAAGCTTTTGAATTGTAGCATTCATTTAGTTTACTTCACCAGGGTGAGCTACCTCTTTGTCATGTTATATCTGAAAGAGATAGACAAACTAATGACTCTAAAAAATATAAAGGCCCTATTGGTATACAAGCGACTAATATATTCATGCATGAACAACCTTTGGTTCAGTTTGTTCCTATAGATTCCAAGATATAGTTTTATGTAAATCCCAACATTATTTGCGATTTGAGTACAGACCAGCATAAACTTTATGATTATTGTATTGGCATAGCTTAAGGTTCCATTTCTGTCAAGTATGCTAATAAGAAACCTGGTCTTGTCTGCCATGCATGCTGGCTAACCCTTGCTTTAAGAATTATGATGGCTTAAGCAAAAACTGAGATACCTACACATGATCTAAACTACATCACAAAGTACATAGTCCAAGTCTACTGTCCAATGTGGTTTGCTGTAAAAAGTTTAGCGCATTACAAAGATGCACCAAGGCTCCTCTATAAAACAATACAGTTAGTCAAAAAACAGGATGACAGAATTGAAAAGATTGTATTAAAAAGTCTTCAGTGTAACTCCTATTGCTGCTGTTAAGAAAATTTATGTATGTATGTATGTATGTATGTATGTATGTATGTATGTATGTATGTATGTATAATATTGCATCTTAAAGAAAATGAATTTGCAATCAATGTTTGAAAAAATTGAATAAGAAGACGCTGATGCAGCTAGTATTTTAATAAATAAATTTAAAAACTTAAACTCTTGGAAACTTTCAATTGAAAGATTCTGGTAAGTATAAGACAAATGTCTTACTAATTATAGAAAAAGGGTTTACTGGCAGTGTTAAATAATAAAAAACTTTTTTAACAGAATCTTAATAAGGATAATAATCATTTAATAACAATAAAAATAACACTAAAATAATTTATAGCAATAGAGAAAAATATCTGAAATATTTTATTCATATTCTTTATGCAAACTTCGCGAAGTTTAAAAAATAAAATAAACGCAAAATAAAAAAATAAATTCTAGAGTAATTTATGATGAAAAAAAAACTTTTATATAATAATAAGTAACTAAACAAATTCTTTAGTAATCTATAATAATTTTTAAAAAAATTCAATAATTTGATTTAAAAAAAAAAACAATTTTCAGATTTCTTATCGAAATTCTACAATGACATATACTCTTTGGAATTAAATGCACTTGAATAAATTATAAAGTCTGTAGATTGTGGAGTATATTTTAAAGACTTAAAGGAACTGGCTAACATGAAGACAATAACAAAGTTTGTTTTTCTTGGTATACATTTATTATTTTATTTTACTTATAAATTTCTGTCCAAACATTATTATTTATCATTTTCTTTAATATGAACAAAGTTGTCTCGACACTTTGGGATTCCTTTGAGCACAAAAATACATGAAAATAAAGAATTAAAAGTTTTATTTTTTAATTTTTATGTATTTTTTTAGTTGGCTTTCAAATTATCTCCAAATATATTTTCTTACTGACTTCGTCAAATTTTGTGCATAACCTTGGTTTCCCAACATATGGTTTTATTTTCTCAGTGCTTGCTACTGGCAGTCTCGTTACTATTGGCTATATGGTAAGGCCAAAAATTAAGTCTTTGGCTTTGAAAATATTTGCATAGGTATTGACCTTGAGACTTTTGTCCTTGACCTAGAAACTCTTGGCTTTAACCTTGTACTTCTCTGTGAAACTTTAGCCTTGGTCATGGTATTGAAACATGTTGTCTTGGCTTTGGCCTTGCTTTTTTTAGCCTTGTTAACAACTCTGCAGACAGCCATCAAGTATTTTAAATACACTTAAAAAAGAAACAATGGTATTCTTTTATTTAATTTTTTTCCATCATTACAAAATTTATTAATCAAATAATATATTTTACAAATAAATAGAAGTTTATTTTTTGATTTTCCTATTATATAAATATTGAGAAAAAACGTTAAATATAGCAAAAACATTTTTAAAAACTAAAAGAGGTGAAAATGAATAAACGTAAGAAAAAAATTTAATTAATTTTATCATAGTTCTAGAGTAAATAGCAAGTTAGTTTCCTAAAAATCATGAATAAACTGCATATTAAAACTTTCAATTATTGTTATAAAATTATAAAACTGTTATTTAAAATAAAATATGTTTTTGTCCTCAACTTGTATCAAAATCTGTAGCTAAAAAAAAAAATGTTTACAACTTTTTTTAATTTTTAAATTTTTCTAGTTTATTTAATTAAAATTTAATATTTTGTTACAATTTTTAATCCTTTTTTTTTAGTTTTTTTTTTTTTTCCTCAGCAGATGAGTTAAACTTTTAGCCGGAAATTATAGAAACAACTTAAAAGTTAAAAAATGTGACTGCTATGGGCAGTGTGTTTAAAAAAATTAATTTAAACGTGGATGAACAAGGTGTGCAACCGCAAACGCTTTCTGGGAAAGCTTGAAATCACATTTTTTTGTAATAAACAACAGTATATTAGCACAGCTAATTACATTTGAATGTTATTAGTTGTGTCTTCCAATTTGGAAAAACGGGTCTTGTGTAAATTACCTATATTGATTTGATCTGCATAATTATTTGCAATTTATATATATATATATATATATATATATATATATATATATATATATATATATATATATATATATATATATATATATATATATATATATACATATACACACTTTTTATTAAATTAATAAACTGACCATAACAAAACTCTTAGTAGAGGTGTGTACACATAACTGACCCAATGGCCAAATATATTACTTACAACATATATATACTTATGCTCCTCAATCAATATATGCATGTATGCACCTTAATTGTTTTAATAGTCAAATAAAGTCAATTAAAGAGTTTTTTTTAGTCATCTATCTCTTATATTTTATTTTTTTGAATGTTTGTCTCTCTCTTATATTATATGGTTTCTCTAATATTATATAATTTGAATTACCTTTAAGTTATGCATCACAGACAGAAAACTTTATGGAAATAAGTTAATACCATACTCAAGTTGTTTTCATACTCAAGTTGCATATTCAAGTTGTCTCATACTTTGAAAAAAATAAAAAATAAATAACCTTTAACTTTGACATCATGACAATAACATTAATTTTTTCATTCCATATCATACTCCAAAAATCATTGGTTGTCTGTTGCAATGGTGACTGTGCAGCAATAAATGATTGTCTTTTACTGATCTGAAAAAATATAAAAAGTTCTAAAAGTTTTGTACAAATTATTATAATATTATAATTATACTCTTTATAAAATATTTGTAGAAAAGTTTTTGCCAAAAACCAACTTTTTCAATAGTTAAAACTCAACTTGCAGACCTCCTGCAACAGATTTTCACCACTACAATTACTAGACATCCTACAACCATTACTCTTTGCTATTACATTTTCTTTACAAAAATAACTATTATGATCATTAATAAAATTGCTATAAACTTGAACCTTTATTAGGCTTGCGTTTATATAGTCAGAACCATCTATGTTATCTTGGGGCAAGAGAATTCTGTTATCCTAAACAAACAAACAAAAAAATCTTAAAAAAAAAAATTCAGAAAAAAAATACTTTTAGTTTTCAAATCTTGAATATATATATTGAACAGTACATTGTAATGCTTTTTTTAATGCATAATTTGTTTTCATTTGTAATAAGCAATTTAAAATATTTAGTAACGAAAGTCCTATTCAGAGGTGTAAAATTCATTGGTACAATAAAAGATCAAGATCAAATAAAATTAGTTAAGGGTTTCACTGTATAAACTTTAGAAGTATGTGTGTAAAACAAAAAAAACACAAATACTTTCTAAAAAATTCAAGAACGGCACTTAAAATGTCAAAAGAAATCAAAATTTTAACCCTATTTACTTGAAATAAATATAAAAATTTTTACATACATCATAAGGAAGTATTTTGCTATTTCGGTTCTTAAGAACTTGACTTGAACCACAAACTGTAGAATAACCCTAACAATAAAATTAAAAATTAAAAATTAATATCAATAAAAATAATATCTATAAATAAAATATAAAAAGAATTTAAATATTCTTAAGTAATCTTTTAAAATCTTCAAAAACTTAAAAATAACCGGTAACTTGAGGTACTCTTAAACTCCCACTAAACCTCATTTTTCATAAAAATCACTCTATTATTCATAAAAATCACTCTAATATTCATAATATTCAAAAATCATTATAATATTCACAATATTCTAATACTCATTCTAATATTCTAATATTCAAGTTAAACCATTTTCTTCATCCCTTGGAGGTTCCATTTTTCAAGGGTTTATATATATATATATATATATATATATATATATATATATATATATATATATATATATATATATATATAAATATATATATATATAAATATATATATATATATATATATATATATATATATATATATATATATATATATATATATATATATATATATATATATATATATATATATATATATATATATATATATATATATATATATATATATATATATATAGTAAAACAGTTATATGTATTAAGCTAACTGTATAATGGCAACTTTTGGTAAGAATCGGTACTCAATAATGACTTTTAGTCATTATTGAGTACCGATACCGAGTACTTTTAGTCATTATTGAGTACTCAATAATGACTTTTAGTCATTATTAAGCTCAATAATGACTTTTAGTATATTGTTGCTATTCATACTTGAAAGCAAATTTCAAAAAAAAACTTTAAATGTATTTATTGGTTCTCTAGATGTTGGAGTTAAAATTCAACAAATATTTTAGAAATATTGACCAAGTTAAGTCAAAAAAGATTTTAAACTTAAAAATAGAACAAACTAAATACTTATCAATAGATATTTCACTTGATAATTGTTTGTTTTTTTTATTTTCAAAACCTCATGATGGCTGAAGCACTGGGTTTACAGTATAATTTTATTTTTAAAAATGAGTATTAACATTTCATATACTTAATATTTTTAAAAAAATCCTACAAGGTACTGGATTAGTAAGATAAAAAATAACATAGATTCAATATAGAATAATAATAATAATTGCTTTTTTGACTAAACACCACTATCTATAAGAATCAGGAAGAGTTCCTTAGTTACCCTTTCAAAATGTTGTCACTTTTTTAATATGCTGCTGCTAATCATACTTCATACTAGAAGTCATTCATAGATCGATTTTAAAATATTTTTTTAAAATATTCATTTGTTCTCTAGATATTGGAATTACATTTTGCATTATTTTATTTGTAATTTATAAATCAAAATTATAATTTATAATTGGATATAAATACGGACTACTATTTTGATTTTTTTTGTTTGCAATTCGGACCCAATCAAAAGTTGTTCAAAAACAGGAATAGAAAGTTTTTGGAGCTCTAGAATTAATTGCTCGTCACAACAAAACAAGATCATATGCATCTTATTGCTAAGCACCAAGAAGAAGTAAAATGCAAGCAAGCTCATTACTTATTCTTGAAATCACAGAGTAAATTTATCGAAGAGTGCTGAAGCCCAGCTCGTTAGAAATTTTGCAGAAGGATTCAGACCAATCATTACATAAACTTTCTGTTACATGATAGAGCTTAAGGATTGAAGCAGTCGAGTCACTAGCATAAAAGCCTAGAGAATATTGAAATCATTACATTTTATAAAAGAGTTAGACCTTCCTGACAAAAGTAGTAATAAAGTGCATTATCTAATTAAATAGATGACTTCTTTTAAACTTTTTGTTTTCACAACAATTCGGTTTATATGTTTAGTGGCAATTAACAATGTGAGTCTTCTACTTTAATCCACCTAATTCACTCTCAATGATGAAGTAAAGATTCTAAATGGCCTTTTGACAGATCTGGATTGAATCTGTTTGTCTTGGGACCTGATTTTGATAGAGGCAATAGCAGTTGCAAAGAAATTGAAATTTAATAAAATTATGTTTGATGTAAAGAGAACGCGAAAAAAGAAACACTTCCCTGATGAAACTGCTAGTTACAACCATGAAGAAGCATCAAAAATTTTTGAGAGTAATGTCTTTTATGTTGCACTCGGCAATCTGACTAGTCAAATGAGATCAAGATTTCAAGTAATAGAAGAAGAATGTAACAAGTATTCTTTCCTTTAGTTCTCATAGAAATCTCAAACAGACAAAGAACTAGGTTTAACAGCTGAGATTTTAGCTAAACTTAACCCAGAAGACTTATGTAAAAACGAACTTTTTGGTAAGTTCTGAATTTTTTTTTCCAAAAGAAGAAATATTCTAGTCAGTGAAAAGCCTATGGAACTACTAAATGAACTTTATGCAAAGGGGCTGCATTCAATATTTCCAGTGTGTGTTTCACTTACAATCTTTCTAACATTACCAGTTTCAAGATCTGAAGGAAAATTTTAAATTTAGCCATTAAGAAGGCCCAGAAGATGTGTTCGTCAATAAAGAGTTGATTTTAGGATAGTTTGTTTTTACAAACCAAAATTAATTAAATGATTTTAGGTTTTCTATAAAAGTAAAAAAATATATATATACTAACTTAATTGATGTTTATCATTTCAAGACTTGAAGTATGATAAGGCACCCATCAAACTTTTGGACTTGGCCATCACAAAAGCTCTGGACAGGTCTGTATATATATATAAATAAATATATATGATTATTTTATTTCATTATTATATATTAGCTAGTTGAGACCTAAAAAAGGATAAAACATATATGGTAGGCAGATGGTTTGTTAAATATTGTGCTTCAAAGTACGCAAAAATTGATTTTTCATTAATTTAGTAATTCAAAGACTTCATTATTTTTTGCATCATTCTTAATTTATATTATCAAATGTATATTATATTATTATATAATTAAGTATACATAATTTAAGTTTATCTATTTTACCTAAAAATTAATAATTAGAAAAACAATAATTAAAATAAAAAATAATTTTTTTACTGAGAATTCTAATAAATTAAAAAGATACGTACAGTTTTTTCACGAAATATTTGCTGATATTCTTCTAAAATTCGATTATTTTCTAGTAGTTGCTCTAGGTGTTTTAACTAAAAAAAAGAAAAATAATAATATATTATTTAGACATTATTGCATAAAAACTATGGCTTTTCAACAAAAAATTTAAAAAAAAAAACTTTCATAGATTTTTTTTTGGAGATTTTTCTATAAAATGTGATTATTATTTTAAAAATTTTAATATAATTTATTTCTTTTAAGACTTTTTTTACAGTTGACATACTTTTGATGAGATTTAATTTTAGTAACATTAAGGACTTGTTTAAAATCTAAGGGTCTTGAACTAGTCCTAAAAAATTTTTTACAGTTTTTGAAACTTGGTTTTATTATATTATAGATAATACATTTAGGAAAAAACAGGAACAATTTTTTTAAAACAACTTTTTTTAAAAAGATGTTTTAATTTTTTGTTTTAATTAATCCACTCTTATTCAAAGTGGTAGCCCTTTTATCAAATATAAAATATCAGATTGAGCAATTTGTAAGTCATTGGCGATAATGAGCACACCTTATACAACCAACCAACTTGCAGCTCTAGCAGCCAGGCTTAGGTCAAGGTAATCATTCAGCTGCTTCTCAAAAGCTTGATGCTACAATATCAAAACTAATAGCCACAGTCAGCATACTTCTCACCTGCGTATCTGTTCTTGAAAACAAAAATATTACTTTAAAAGCATAACTCTCAACAACCAAAGTTAGCACCTACGATTTTGACCACAACTCTCAACTGGGCAAGCGCAGTCAAGCACGGTTCAAAGCCAATAAAGCAATTATCACAGCAGTCAAGGAAAATGCCAAAAATGTAGAAAGAAAATTTAAAAGAGCTATAATTGCCAGTCTTCCAAAACCCTCAATACCTCTGACAATAATCAGAGGCTAATTTCAGTTCAAAGTATGCTCAAAAAGCTTAACTATAATGTCGCTTTTAAAGTTTTTGGGCATTTCTCAAAAAAGTTTATTAATACCACCAGTTTAACTACAATAGCAGCTGAACCAAATGAATTGATTATCATTGAGTTCGACTCCAATGAGCACCGCAACAATCTCACATCTAATGCAAAACCACTTGCCTCAATAGATGAATTAAAATCTGCCTATATTCGTCCAGACCGAACACCTCTCAAACAAGAAACATTCAACAACTTAAACAAAAAACGTGCTACCGAAAATGCAGAACTATTGGCAAAAGATTTACTTGACAAACCCTTTTGATTTGTCATCTGCAGCAAAAAAATCAAATGAACTGACACATCCAAAACAGTCAACATCAACAGAAGAGAGAGGAACCCATACCTCAAATAGAAATCAGCAGCTGAGGCCATTCAATCGCTCTCAGCATCTTACTAATTCAACATTTTTAAACAAGGCCAGCTCTTCCATTAAATTATTTAATCTAAACTAAACATTTAACTGTATATTTTATTTCAAGAGATTTTTTTATGCTATAATTTTGCTGGAGTAAATTTTGATAGTTAGTAGCACTTAATAGTTTAATAATTTGTATAAATTGTTGATACTATTACACATTATAAATGGCTAGAAAAAAAAATTGACTGTAAAAAAATGATATGCAATATTCACATTGTTGCAAGAAAAATGTTCTATGGGTCAAATAACAAAATAAATTTATTATTTCCAGCTCAATAATTGGAATATTATAAAAAAGAAGAAAGAAACTGGAAGTGTGGTCAATCGAAAAAGATTGTGACGTTGTTGAATTGTGTCAGCACCAAAGACAGAAAAATTACAATTACTAATAAATAAAATAGAGTATTAATAGCTAGAGAATTAAACTATACTTTGAATTTTTTTAGAAGTATCTGTTACAACAGTGAAGTGGCGATTGGTTGAAGCAGGGCTTGGTGGCAGAATAGCTACAAAAAAACTTTTCCTTCAGCCCCTAAATTAAAAAAAAGACAGGAGTGGGCAAAACTACACAAAAAAATGGACCATCAATGACAAAACATCAATGGAAACAATAAGTCAAAGTTTCAATTCTTTGATTCCAAAAGCAGATCGTTTGTCCAAGGAAATGTAAGTGAACAGATGATAAAACAATGTGTGTTGCTAAATGTGAAACATGGTTAAGGTAGTGTTATTGTTTGGGGCTGTTTTTCAGGAAATTCTACTTTTGATATTGTAAAAATGAAAGGGAAAATAAAAAAAAGAAGCAAATTTCTAGTGTGAGTCAAGTCAATTTGTTGCCACCAAGGGTGGTTACATAGTTTAGAGAAAATTACAAAGTATTTTAATTTTTTCTGTTTTGTTTTGTTTTGAAAACTTAATCTATAGTAAAATAGCTCACTTTTTTGGTCATTTTTGCTTACAGTTTTTCTCCCAATAATAAGTAAAACTTTGATAACTTTGAAAAGCATGACGATTTGAATAATTATGGACAGCAGTGTATGTTTATATAAATGTGTATATATATATACACACATAGCAAAATAGTAAAATCCAAACCAAAAAAAGACCTATGTAATGCTACGGAAATATCCAAAGAAAAGAAAATACATAAAAACATAGTGACTTTATAGAAAATACATACAAACATAGACAAAATTTCATTTATCTCAAAAGTGGAAATTTGTGACATGTGCTTTTTTTATATACAGATATATATATATATATATATATATATATATATATATATATATATATATATATATATATATATATATATATATATATATATAATATATAATATATATATATATATATATAAATATATATATATAAATATATATATATTATATATATATTATATACATATATTATATATATATATTATATATATATATTATATATATATATATATTGTATATATATATATATATATATATATATATATATATATACATATATATATATATTATATATATATATATATATATATATATATATATATATATATATATATATATATATATATATAATAGAGCAGTTCAAAAAATAACAATTTTAAAAAATGTTATATTGGAACCCTTAACTGTGTTTTAGGCCGAACATAATCCTAATTTTTTTAAAAGTCATGTTGTATCATAAAAGAAGTGAAATTATATAAAAAATTTCCATAATGATAAAAAATAAAAACTAAAAAAACACAAACTTAACAAATTCTTTAAAAAAAAATTATGAAAAACACATTTTTATAAAGAAGTATAATACAAGTATATTTTTATAAAGAAACACATTTTTATAAAGACATTTTTATAAATTAGTATAATACGAGTTAAATACAAATATGTGAATATGTAACTTGATAACAATATGTAGATAACAATAAATCATTTACATTTAATGTTAAAATTCTATTTGTATAAGTTATGTACAAACATCTGTAAGTGTAAACATCAGTAGGTTAAGTTTAGTTTGGGGGTTCAATATGGAACGATCGTGTATAACATGTATAAAAAATTATATATCTCTAATATAAATTGTCATTTATGTTAGAGATACTTTTATTATGTGTTTATGTAATCAATTAGGTAAATCTATGCATCTAATAAAGTAAAGAAAGAATTTTTTTTTTTTAAGTAAGAAGATTTTAAATTCAGACGTTATCTTAGGAAATAAAAAAACCTAGTAAGAGTTCTACTGAGCCCTAAGTATGCAGAAAAAGTGCACATAATATTTTTGTTTTGCTCTAAGAGTAATCTTTAAGTATGAATTTTTCTACAGATTACTAAAAAATAATGAAGTAAATAAGTATAGAAATTGTTGGTTTGAAATGTACTTAGCAAAGCATTGTATTTTATGGGTCCGGTGTCACAGGAAATTTTGATGCTAGGAAATTTCGCGGCTGCGGCATAATTTCCTAGGAAAATCTGCTGCTCAGCTTTTATTATAACCTAGGAAAAATTGTAGCTCGCAGGAAAATTTGCCGCTTTTTTTCTCTTTACTTTTCTTGATATCATTTTATAAATATGGATGAGGAATACAACAATCTTGTTGATTTAATTGTCAGAGGAATATACCCTCAAGGCATTGATAAGATTAACAAAGATGGGTTAAAAAGAAAGTCCAAAAGATATTTGGCAAAACATGGCCTACTTTTTTACTAAGATAAAAAAAGAAACATGGATCTGCTAGTAGTTCCAACAAGTCAAAAAACTATGATTCTCGAAGGCTGTCATTCTGCAATTCTAGGTGCTGGTCACTTTGGTCGAGATAAAACATTAGAAAAACTCTCAGAGTATTACTATTGGAAAAGAATGGTAAATGATGTGAAGAATTTTTGTAAATATTGTGATAAATGTCAAAGAGCAAACAGGTATGTTTGTTAAATAACTTTATATACTAAAGTTTATTATTTAATAATTACATAAAACAATAACAATAATAATTGTAATTTATAATACTACAGATATTATTAATAATCCTTATAGGTATTATTAATAATAACTTAGAAAATATATTACCTAAGTAATAACAAAAACTAAACATAATTGTAAAAAAATGTATTATCTAAGAAAAATATTATTGAAGTAATAACAAAAATATTATCTAAGTAATAACAAAAATTAAACATAATTGTGAAAAAATTTTCAAATTGATAAATACTTATTTAACTAAGATTATAATTTGTAACTAACCTTAAAATATGCATAATTTCTTTCATAATATACTTTATAGAGCATTTGAAAAACACTCAGCTGAACTACATCCTATTAAGTTAAAGATGAAGAATGGAGCACAGTTGGAATCGATTTAATTGGATCTCTTCCTTTAACAGAAAAAAGAAACAAATACATCATAACCGCAACCTGTTTATTCTCAAAGTGGCCTGAAGCAGCTTCCTTATCTGATAAAACAGCTACAAGTGCAGCAAAGTTCTTGTATACATGCTTTCCAAGACATGGTTGTTGTGAAGATCAGATAAGTGATCAAGGAAGAGAGTTTGCTAATGAGATACTGTGTTGGATTTTGTTTATTTATTTTTCTTTTTTTTGTTGTTGCTAATTTTTAGTTTTCATTACTTTTTTGGAAAAAGCTCTATTTTTTGTATAACATGATTCTATATTTTGATAAGTTCATATATCATAATTGGAGGTGAAGAGTGAATAAACAATCAAGTCAGAATTTTTACAACTTGTTCATTTAAATTGATAAACAAAATGAGAGTTAAAAAAACATCAGTTAATCAGCCTCATCTGCATTACTTATAAAAAAAAATTTTTTAGGCTTTGTCAATGTTTTGCACAACAAAAATGTTTTATGCTAAAACTTGCAAAACTTAATTCTTTTATTAACTAATTTTTATTTATTAGGTTATGTTATACTCGTTTATTATTTAATATAAACCCTATACAAACATTTTTTACAGGCCATTTTAAATGGTCTATTTTCTTATATTATTTCTCTTCATACAAATAGTTTTTTTTGTTTTGTTTAGGTAAACCATGAATTAAATAAAATGATGGGAACAAAGTGCAATGTTACAAGCGACTACCACCCACAGAGCAACGGTCAAGATGAAAGGTTCAATCAAACTCTTCAGCGTCAACTTTTAAAATGTTGATGAAAAGCAAAACACGTGGGATCTATACATTGAGAGTATTTTGTTTTCATATTGTGTCTCTGTTCAAGACTCTACTAAACAAACCCCATTTTATCTAGTTTAGGAAGACAAGCCAGGCTTCCTGTTGATTTACAAATAAAATCTATAAAAAATAATTTTGAAAATAAACCTATAATTGATGACAGTTTAAAAAATAGAGAAAATCTATTAGAAAATGTAATTGAAATGCACTAAAAAATATTGAAAAAGCTTAGGAACGCCAAAAAAAAACATATGATGCCAAACATTGTTCAGAAAACCAGTTATTTAAAGTTGGCACTCAAGTGTTAATAAAAAATAGTAATAAACTTTGCAGAAAAGGTTCAAAGATGGAGCCAAATTAGACTGACCCATGCTAAATTTTAAAAAATAATACTTTTCGTTTATGTTATATAAATGATTGCAATAAGAAATTAAAACAAGTATGCAATATGACTCGTTTGAAGATTTATTACCCAAAATCTGAAAATATGGTTCCAAAAAATATTGTTGAAATACTCCAAAATAATTCTGAGGAAAAGTCTCAATCTATATCTAAATAACTTTCTATTTTTACACTGACAATGAAAAAAGTTATACTAGACGGAAAAAAGTTGACTGATGAACATATAAATTTTGCTCAGTTGATAATAAAGAAGCAATTTCCTGATATTATTGGTTTGCAGAATACCTTGTTGTCACAGACTGATGGATTTAAGGCAGTCAGTACAGATAGAATTTCAGTTCAGATTCACTTTATTAATTCTTATTGGGTCACTTCATGTTCTATAAATGGATCAATTTCACTTTATGATAGTATGTATAGCAAATTAGATTCGCATCTAATTAATCAGTTAGCTAGATGTTATAAGAATTTTGCCAATTATGATTGTGAATTTCCATTTATGATTGTGAAAGTATTGTTGTAAATATTAAAAGTGTTCAACAACAGACTAGAAGTTTGGATTTTGGATTATATGCTATAGCTAATGCTGTCCACTTGGCTTTGGGTAAACAACCAGAAAACTTATCATATAATCAAAAGTTTATAAAACAACATCTTGAAAAAATGTTTTATGCTGGACAGTTTAAACCCGTTCCATTACTCAATAAATGAAGTAAATTGAATATTACGCGTAACAATCCCTCAGCTGTAAATGTTTAACTGCATTGCACCTGTTTAATGTCTTGCACTTATGATTTTATGGTTGCTTGCTGCAAATGCTTAAAATGGTTCCATATTACACGTGTCCAATATAAAGAAGACAATTCAGTGCAGGAGTGCAATTGCAAAATATGCAAACTGTCATAAATGCTTTTTGTAAAATATTTTTAAAAATATATCAATTTTATATATATATATATATATATATATATATATATATATATATATATATATATATATATATATATATATATATATATATATATATATATATATATATATATATATATATATATATATATATTATGTTTTACAGTTTTATTTTATTATAATTATACAAGTCAGCCTATTATATAGTGTAGCAACAAGATACTTCAAAAAAGTTCATTAAAAGCTAGAAATATTTACATAATTAAATATATAAAATAACTAGCAAAACTAATTAATTTATATTTTTAGTTAATGTTAATAAAAGTATAATTATCAACTAAAATTTTTTTTTTCTTATATATATATAACCCTTAGAATAAAAAATATTTTTTAATAAAAATATTTTTCATTCCATGGGTTAAGGAGGATTACTTTCATTAAGGCTAAGGTTTTTATTATATAGCTTAATTAAAAAGTAAATTGATTTAAAAAGGTGATTTTATTAAGATGAAATGGATAAAAACTATGAAAAATACTTTACTAATTGTAAGTAAATTTTAATTTGAACTTTATAGTATGCTCATTTAATTTAACCTGTTTGTTTGGGCAAAAAATTGAAATTTTGAAGAAATAATTTTAGGAAAGATTGGCACTAATTGATTTGCTTTTTCCGCAGCAAATTTTCCTGCGAGCGGCAATTTTTCCTAGGATATAATGCAGCTGAGCAGCAGATTTTCAAAAGGAAATTATGCTGCAGCCGCAAAATTTCCTAGCAGCATAATTTCCTGTGACACCGGACAGATAGTTTTTATATAATTTCACTTCTTTTAAGACCCAAAATTACATAGTAATGTATATATATATATATATATATATATATATATATATATATATATATATATATATATATATATATATATTATATATTTATATATTTATATATATATATATATTTATATATTTATATATATATATATATTTATATATTTATATATTTATATATATATATATATATATATATATATATATATATATATATATATATATATATATATATATATATATATATATATATATATATATATATATATATATATATATATATATATTAGATAGTTTACTTAAAAGTTTTGAACATTGAATTAAAAAAGAATGATTTTCCTTAATTAACTAACTTATTGTTTCAAAATATGTTAGTAATCATAAAAAATTACAAAATTTAAATAACAAAAATAACTTTAAAAGAATAGTAAATGTTTGCTCATTAATTAAATATTTGGTATGATGTCCTTGAGCTTACAAACAATAAGCTAAATGGGTAGGCTAAGAGTCAATAAGTTTACACAAATATTTATTAAAGTCATAAGGTGAATCCATACCTGTCTAATTTTCTTTTGTAGGTTATCAGAAGATGAGGGTCACAGTTTCAGGAAATAATTTTCAAAACGACTCCAGCAATTATTAATAGGATTGAGATCAGGTGAATTCCCAGATCAGGGGCCAATGATCTCAATCCCATTTTCACACAACTAACTGCTTAAAAGCTTGGTTAAGGGGTGCTTCAATAATCTGAAATTTATGGGTATTCATGATGTTTATGAATAGTTAAGTATATTCTTAAAGTACTTCAAAGTAAACAAGGCTATTTATTGTAGTGTTAGGAAACATAAACTATAAGTTACCACTAAGTTACTGATTTGATTGGCTGTAATGGCACCTCATATCATGATTTTTGGGCAATGTTTTACAGTCAAAGCAATTATTGGGGCTTGTATCGTTTGCAAGGCAAGCGCCTAAGGTTTGTAGAACAACAACCAAATTATTTGCTTAATGATTTGTCACAAAATATTATTTTATCTGAGTTTATCTTATTTGCAAATAATGAGTATATTTAATGTATTTGTATTTTCTAAATGGTTTATACGCTGTATAAACCATATATTACACGTTGTATAAACCATAATATGGTATATGATTTTTAAAACATTAACTACTTAATTAAAATATTGCCTTAAATATCTATAGAATTAATTATTCCCAAAAAAAAAAGTTATTAGCGTAACATAAAACCTTGGCATTTGTAAAATGTTCTATTTCTAAAGCTTTATCACAAGGTCTGACATGTGTATATATAAATTTTAATTAATAAGTGATTAAAGAAAAAATCACAAAAAGATTTATAGAAATCTCACCAAAAGATCTCTATGCTCCGAAGCAATTCTTGACA